TTAGAAATTTAATTAATAATAACAAGAGGCCTTACTGGAACGGCCTCAAAGGCTAGCCTGAATAGCCCTCTAGTAGTAAGCATTAACTCACTCTAGTGCGGCAGGTCACCTCTGGGCACTAATACAGTAGCCGGGGAATATCAAACCAAAAAATTAAGCTAATATTTGTATAATTATGTATGCAATTCTCTTAATAAAGGGTCTTGGCAAGGCTGCCAAAGAGTTAAAAAAAAAAAAATTTAATTTAATTATTTAAATTAAATTAATTTTACCTGAAGATGGCAAACCATGTTGTTTAGCATAATTTTCTATAAAAGTAATAACCTTTATAACTGTTTTAAATGATATTGCTCTATTTTCAACTTTTTTAGTTTTTGCATTAATACATAATATCATATTCTACATAATGATCTCTTAAATTTTTTTATTCTTTATTATCAAGTCTATAAATAATTTAAAAGCATTTAAACAAATTGCTTTTCTTTCAAAACTATATTCAGTAGTAAGTTTAAATTTTTTTGAATTTCTAATTATTTCAGGTCATTTTGTAACAGTAATAATTCCTAATAAAAACATATCTTGAGATGTTTTAGAAAGATTTTTAAAATTCAAATATCTAGATAAAGTTATTGAATATTTATATTGAGTTTGTAAACAATTTTTTCACAACAACTTTTTTAAATGATTCTTTAAGATCATTATTTTGTAATAAATCAATTTTTTTTTCTAATTTTTGATTATCATTTTCTTGTTTTTTAAGAATATTAATTGTATTGTAATATAATGCTTTAAATTTTAAAAGTTCTGCTTTTGTTCATATCTCATTTTCTAAAGAATCAATATCTATATTTTCAATAATTTCAGAAGTTTCAAGTAAAGAATTATTATTTTCTTGAACTAAAAATTAAAATTGTAAACTTGAAAGATCAGTTTGTAATTAAATATTTTCTTTATGAGTTTTTTCAAAAATATTTTTGTTTTAAAAAAAAGTAGACATTTTTACAAATAATAAATTTTAAAAATAAATTTAATAAATTATTTAATACATAATATTTTGATAAATACAACTTATATATTAAATATTAACAATTATATAAAATTTACATTATTATTGTTTTATATAATAATAAATTTTATGCATATTTATAATAAAAATAACAATTTTTATACAATGATTAAGACAATTATTACATAAAAGAGTAAAATCCATGACAGAAGTAGTTATGTTGTTGATGAGATCTTACTTAATTAAGGTTAAAGATAGGTTAATTACTATTTTAGATAGTAATCTGCATTAATAATGTAACCACTTTTATGAGTTGTTTCATTCTGTTGTATTATTACTATTTATGAATTAGTATGTACAATGATTGAATTTTGTAGATCTTATAAATCCTGTATATTACTATTGTAAAAACAATAGTAATATGTAGAATTTATAAGATTTATAAAATTCAATCATTGTACTAATTCAAAAATAGCAATAAAATAGTAATAAATTGGAAGCAGACATCACCTATATTAAGAATACACAAAGGATGGCATCAAAATTGCAAGGCACAAGGTCAGAACCAAGTTGTATTGTTGCAAATTAATGATTTTAATAAGGAATAGCTAGTTAGATCACTATTTTTGAATTAGTGTGATTAAATTTCATAAATCTTGCATATCAGATATTACAATTTTTTTTATAATGATATGTATATACATAATAGGAATCAAGAAATTAATCATACTAATTACAATTAGTTATGAAAGTTACCAATCTAGCCATAGTGCTGGTCATGCCTAATGATTGTAAGATTTATAAAAATTGGTATTTTTACTAGTATCTAATAAAATTTATCAGTTCAATCTAGAGATGTGAGCTATCTATAGTTTAGATAAGTGGATTTATACAATGGATAATCTGATAATCTGATAATTAAAATATAAATAGCATTTATAGTAGAGTTTTTTATATTATAATCATAAATTGAATAGCAAATAATCAGATAGCCCTATAACTAATAAAATTTGGATGCAATAACTAATAAGCATCTATTAAAACTATTATAGAAAAAAAAATTTTTTTTATAACTTTATTTATTAGATAAACATACTAATTAAAGTGCTAATTTTTTTTTACAAGTCTTAGCTAATGATTACTGCAGAAGTAATTAACATCCTAATCACATATATTGCATTTATAATTAGCAGGTTTATAAACCAATCTACTTGAATTTAATAAAAGACCTTTATTACTAGTAGTTTTTGAACTCAATCTACTTGAATTTAAAAAATAACCTTCATTACAATTAAATTTCAAAAAAGAATTACATTCCTGATAGTTTCTGAACCTAATTTACTTAATAAAAAAAAAAAACTTTCATTATTGTTAGTTTTTGAATCCAATTCAGTTGAATTTAAAAAAAAGACTTTCATTATGATAGTTTTTAAACTTAATCTATTTGAATTTAAAAATAACCTTTGTTATAGTAGTTTTTGACCAAAACTACTTGAATTTCAAAAAAAACTTGCATCACAGATATTTTCTGAACCCAATTCAATTAAATTAAAAAAAGGACCTTTATTATTATTAGTTTCTGAACCCAATCCAATTAAATTTTAAAAAAGACCATTATAGTAAATTTCAAAACTTTTACTACTAGTAGTTTCTGAGCCTAATTCACTTAAATTAAAAAAAGATTCTAGTTGCTGCTAGTCTTTGAATCCAATCTAATTGAATTTAAAAAGACCTTCATTACTGATAGTTTTTGAACTTAATCCACTTAAATTTAAAAAATAACCTTTATTATAATGGTTTTTGAACCCAATCCACTTGAATTTCAAAAAGACTCATGTTACTAGTAGTTTATAAACCAAATTCATTTAAAAAAAGACCTTTAATACTGTTAGTTTTTGAATTCAATCTACTTAAATTTAAAAAATAACTTTTGTTATAATGGCTTTTGAATCTAATCCATTTGAATTTCAAACAAGACTTCTGTTACTAGTAGTTTCTAAATCTAATTCACTTAAATTAAAAAAATAACCTTCATTATAGTGGCTTTTGGATCCAATCCACTTGTACTTCATAAAAGATTTGCATTACCAGTAGTTTCTGAACTCAATCCAATTAAATAAATAAAAAAAACTTTGTTACTGTTAGTTTTTGAATTTAATTCACTTAAATTTAAAAAAGTAACATTTGTTATAAAAGCTTTTGGACCCAACCTATTTGAATTACAAAATAGACTTCTGTTACTAGTAGATTCTGAACCTAATTCATTTAAATTAAAACATAACCTTCATTATAGTAGTTTTTGAACCCAATCTACTTGAATTTCAAAAAAGACTTGCATTACTGATAGTTCTGAACCCAATCTACTTAAATTAAAAAAAAAGATTTTTAGTTTTTGAACTTAAAAAAAAGACCTTTGTTATAGTAGTTTTTGATTCTAATTCAATTAAATTTCAAAAAGACTTGCATTATCAGTAGTTTCCGAACCTAATATACTTCTTTTTTTTTAAAAAAAAAAAAACCATGTTACTATTAGTTTTGAACCCAATTTAATTGAATTTAAAAAAAACCTTTGTTATAATAGCTTTTTGGTCTTTGGACTTAATTCATTTAAATTTTAGAAAAGATTTGTATTACTAGTAGTTCCTAAACTCAATCTACTTAAAATAAAAAAGACCTTCATTACTGTTGGTTTTTGAACCTATTTAAAAAAAAACCTTAACCTAATCCTATTTGAATTTAAAAAAATATTTGCATTACCAGTAGTTTTAGAACAAAACCTACTTGAATTTAATAAAAACCTTGTTACTGATAGTTTTAGAACCCAATCAATTTAAATTTAAAAAAAGATTTGTATTACTGTAGTTATTAAACTAAATTCTACTAAAAAAGAACATTATTGCTAGTAGTTTTAAACCTCAATTCACTTTAATTTAAAAAAACTTTTGTAACTAATAGTTTTTGAACCCAATCTATTTAAATTTAAAAAAAAGACCTTTGTTACTAATAGTTTTTAAATCAAATTTACTTTAAAAAAAGACTGTTACTAGTAGCTTTTGAATCAATCTACTTGAACTTTAAAAAAGATCTTTATTACTATAATTTTGAACCTAATCAACTTGAATATAAAAAAAAATTTGTTGCTATAGTTTTTGAATCTAATTCTTTTATTACTATAGTTTTGAATCTAACTTGCTTTATTATTGTAGTCTTTGAATCCAATTCATTTTGTTTCTGTAGTTTTGAACAAATCTACTTAAATTTAAAAAAAGATTTGCATTACTGGTAGTTTTAGAACCTAATTCATTTGAATTTAAAAAAAAGACCTTTGTTACTATTAGTTTTTAAATCCAATCCAATTGAATACCAAAAAAGACCTTCATTACTAGTAGTTTTTTAACCTAATCTATTTGCATTTAAAAAAAACTTGCATTACTAGTAGTTTTTTAAATTCACTTGAATTTTTTAAAAAAAAAACTTTAGTTTTTGAGTCTAATCTAATAGTTACTGTAGTTTTTGCCAAATTTACTTAGGTTTAAAAAAACAAAAAAAAAACTTTATTATAAGTAGTTTAAAAATACTAGAGTTTTTGTTATTTTCAAAGTTAAAAAAAATTTAAACTAATAAAATGAAGATCTTCATTTTTAGAATATTCTTTTCGATCTAGAAATCATTTGTTTCTATTTTTAGATTTATTTAAACTTTACAGTTTTTTCAATTTCACAGATCTTTTTATTATGCAATTAGACCTCATAACTTATAGCAAATCTTTTCAGCAGAAATATATCAATTGAAATATCAAATAAAAAAATTTTTTAAAAATTGTAAAAATAGTCCCTTTTAATACAGAACATCCCACATAAGTATATTATACCAAGTTATCTGGATTAAAAGTCTAGAGAGTTGACTAATTTCAAATTATGATTAGTAGAGGATGATAATGATAAAATTAGAAAATGGGTACCAGGATTTAAGTAAACTTTACAAAACTAATAGTGGTTTAATAAGTAACCCTAACTGCAAGTGTTAGTCTCAATCATAGTACCAAATTAGGTTAACAATAAAAAAAAATACAACTTGCTTTAGTAAGTTTATCTTGAAAATAAAAATAATCTAAAGATTATCACAGGTCAAATACATAAATAATGGTAAAATAATAAAATGTACCTATATAGTCCTATTAGTTAGCTGATATGCATATCAGGTAATATATCAGTAAACTAACAGTTATTTATAT